CCCATGGTGATGGTGAAGAGAAGTACAAACAACAGAGAAAACGAAAGGACACTTTCTCACGTCTCACTAAAGAAAAACTTTGTTGAAAACAGGAGACCATGGAGGAAGAGCCATAATGAAACAGAAAAGCCTGACAATGAAAGACATTATTCAGATGTTAGCATGGTGCATCTTTGCCAGGAAGAGTAGTCCGCAGATTCTGTGTGATCCAACAGCATTCAGCCACGGACCCACCAAGGCAGACTTGAGAAATACTCATCCACATTTCCTAGGGAGGACTAACTGTTAAGACAAACTGTCAGGATAATACTAGGAACGAAGGGAGGAGATACCATGGGTGCTTAACCTTCTGCTACATCTTACCGTGCAAAGGAGGACAAGATCTTAGGGTATGGAACAATGTTATCTGAGAAGTAAAGTCTACGTGGTCTTTATAATCTCACTGAGGAGTCATTACAGCTATTTCTAGAAATGGTAAAACTGGCAGACACGAAGCAGAATTGATGATCTCAAGAATTCCTATTATATTTTTCACAGAGATGAAGGAACCTGGAAGCCCCAGTTTACCCAGTGCATTTTAGTTACAAACTGGAAAAAGGAATTGATACTGTCTTCACCTCTCCTATCTAGGTCCCTGACTTTTCAAGAATTCATGCAACAAATGGTCTCATGTTTTTTACTGAATTTCTCTCTATACGAGAATATTTCTAAGCCAAGTATCTTAATCTTCCCACAAACAAGTAAGACACAGTTTTATTTTTATTAAAAGAGACCCAGTAAGAGCTAAGAGAATGTTTCTTTCACAATAGATGTGTTCTGAGCTGGGAAAGATTGTTGCAAAACCACCATTTGCTTGTTCATGAAAAAGGAAATGTAAGGAAATGTAAGTAGTTTTAAAATAAAATCTATACACATCCCAAATTCATTCTCTAAGCTTCCATATCAACCTCATATTGTTCAGAATGGGACTGAAGCCAAGAACAAATATCTCTCTTCCTTTCTCTGACTTTGAATCTGAATTCTGAAATGATAAGAGGTACTTTAAAATTCTTAAAATAGATGGATTTAGGAATGTCTGAGCCAAGGTAGAGCCTAGTTACTCATAGATAAGCCAGAACTGCCTTCGCCAGTATATTAAATGTAAAATGTATAAAATGTGCAAAATGTGCAAGAAAAATCACTAAAAAGTCTAAGGAAATTTTAAAGTCTCATTTTAACTGAGAAAATTACCTATCTTTTCAGTCTTTTGTGTAGTATTGTAAAGTATCGTAGAACTACTTGGGAACAACAAGAAAGCCATTCTTTAGAAAACAAGAACCTTCTGGATGAAAATGCCAATGTGTTTATCAAGGAACAGGCCTCTCCACATTTTCTGTGTGTTGGGCAATTTAAAATTTATTTATTTGTTTGTAAAAATCTCTTTTGTCTTGAGCTGCTAGGGAGGAAGCAAGAAAAGTTTTTCACTCAGGCATCCAAAACAGAGAAGCTCGGTAATAATAACATAAATGAAAACTAACCACAAAACACAGCACAAACCACATTACACCCCAGTTGAGTTGGCCAAATTAGTTCATTGACTTGCCAGCATGCATAAATTGAACAATTCAAGGCAAATTCTCCCTTGGCTTGCCAACGTCTAAAATGGGCAACCCTGAAAGATGATTCAGTGGACCTTAGTGTTCTTATAAGTAGAGTTGCTCAGTAAGGACAGAGGTTCGGTGGAGAAGATACAGTGTTGGTCCCTCTGTAATACCCTGTGTACTGCTATATAAATCAATGCACATTTATACCAAGATTTATTCTGGGAGTCACCTCTTCCAGCCAGCCTTTTCTACTTCTCCCTCCCCTACTCCCAAATATGAATGAAATATGCGTTGATGTTCTCCTGCAGCAACATGTGCTCACCTGTAGCCTAACTCTTGGCCTTTTCTTTGGTATTTTCTCCAACCTATGAGTTTACTAAGCAAGGTATCTTCATCTTCCTATGCATACCAAATAAGACCTGGAAATTAGTTTTACTAAAAGGAACCCAATAAAAGCTGAAAAAATGTTTTTACCAATGTTCTATAATCTTCTGTTTACGTGCCTGCCCTCCCTACTGGCCTGAGAGTATTAGAAGGCAAAATGTGGGTCCCCTAATACCTACCAGCAAGCCCAGCACACAATAGGTGGCTAATAACTGTTTGATGAGTGAATAAATGAATGCATGAATGAATTTCATTATGTTTTATTATGATTAAAATAGCAGTTAAGCCTGACATTTACCTTTACTCTACCTACTTTACAAGTTAGGTGGAACAGGCTCATTTCAGATTATTTGCATTTTAGGGAAGGATTTGTTCTTTGGGAAAATGCTACCAACAACCAACTCTTCTGAAAAGCTATGCCTATCCTGACAATAAAATGTTTAAATTAGCAATAATAATAATATAATAATAATATATACTATTTAATATTATATATAATAATGTAATATAATAATATCTTTCCTTTTGGTCCTGACAGAGTTCATGGCTCTTTCTTTTATCCAATCTCTGAAGGTACCAGCAGAAGGAGATGAAAGATGGTTTGTAAAGACCAAAAGAGGAACAATGGTAAAATCAGAAAGGTCTGAGGTCTCTGTAGAAACTGACAGAAATTTGCCTGGACAGCAAAGCACTGACATTCATTCCCAGGCTTCGTTGTTAAATGGTGACATGAGAAGTTCCTTCCACTTCCTTAAGAGTAGATGTCCACTATGATGTAACATCAGGAAAAACCTGATCCTTAGCCCAAAATCACAGGTGTGGTAATCCTGGGCGGAAAACTCTTTAACCAATCACAATGAGACCTCTTAATTTTTGTTTACAGTACTCCAGGGTTCTGGACTAGCCTTGGCTTAAAGAGGAAAGGAAAGATGAGACTCCCTGTGATTGGCAGGTCCAAGGCTGGGTGTCTTTCCATATAATCTTTTTGATATGACCTTTTTTCCAATTTCTTTACTTTGAAGTCACCACGGCATTTCTCTGAAAAATCATGTGTTGTAAAAGGCCCCAAAGCAAGTGTAAAGGAGAGAATAAAATCATTTATCAAAATTGTATGAATTTGTAATTCGTAATAGGCAAGAGGCAATTTAAGGAGACAGTTTTCTACCACTGACACTGCTGTCAAAATAAATGTGAGGAAGATAATTATAGTAATTAACAAAATAGTTAATTTTACTTTGTCATGAGATAAGGTTCAGTTTGATTTCTGATTAAGAGAAGATCAATACCAAATGCTTTTCCTTCAGAGCGGTTGATGATTATAAATTTAGACTAGGTATACATAATAGTTTCTTAACTGTTGAATTGCATTGGGAAAACAATGTATCAACATTCATCTGCTTCAGCTGCAGCTCTAAGCTCTTTCCTCCTATCTTCCAGTCCACGGTGCTTTTATCTACTCAGGGAAGAAGTTTTACATTATATTTGACTAAGCCAAACACAAAAGTGTTAGGCCCCAGATTATTTTTCAACTGAAGGTCTTAGATTTCTCACTGAAAAATAACGTTCCTTAAACAGTTTCTGAACCTGATCTCTGCTTGGTTTTGGTCATCTAAGAATCACGTGATCCAGCAGCAGATGAAATTCCTGTTGCAAACAAACCTTAGGAGAGATCAGACCCTCCAAGTCAGAGTTTAATAATCATTCAGCCAGTTGAGGAATTGCCTTGTAAGACTAATAAGCTTTGAGACGAAGGAGTATACATGTACATGTATCTGTCTGTTAGGGAACTCTTGGCATCAATTTATCCTGCAGTGAGGGTCCAAAAACATTATAAATGGGGCAGAAGAAAATACACATGCTGCATTTCTTTAGTAATTGAAGCAATTTGATAACCTCCTTCTTGGACGCTTATTGCATTCCTCATTAAGTTTGACTATGTTTATGAATATTTTGTGCCAACTGTACCTTTAAATAAAAGAAGATAAATGAAAGACTTCAGTGATCAAAGCTTGGTGGGGAGGTGAGAAATGTGCTATATCTGTGGAGGTCCACGGTTCTCTTTTGGTACCATTTCAAAATAGGCTGTGATTGAGGCTGCACTTCATAACTGGCTGGGTGACCTTGAGCAAGTAACTGCCATTCTCCTGACTCAGTTTCTTTTTCAAGAAATTGGAGTCTATTGGTAAGATGACCAAGATGTTATTTCCAACTCTAACATTCAGTGAGTTCATGATCTTTACCAGGGCCAAGATTGGCAATGGCTAACTTAAGAAAGACAAAGACTTAACTCATTTTCCCCAAACAAAATGCTAAGCTATCTAGTCAAGAATACATGCAACTTTTTGTTTGTTTGTTTGTTTGTTTGGGCAGAAGGAGGAAAAAAAGATTAAAGGATTAAAATATTCCTGTATTAGTTAGCTATTGCTGCATAACAAATCACACCCAAACTCACTGGCTTCAAACAATAAGTATTTATTATTTTTCACTAGTATGTGGATCAGCCAGATAGTTAGCTAATCTGGGCAGGCTCAGCATATCTCAGCTGTTTGCATCCAGCTGGTGAGTTGGCTGAAGGTTACTGGCTTAGATTAGCCTTATTCACATATGTAACATTTGGCTGGCTGTTAAGTGGGGAGACAGAGGTGACCAAGCCATGGATGTCTCATCATCCACCAGGCTAGATCAGACTTGCTCATTCTTGAGCTATAGGCTCAGGACTGGCACACTGTCACTCTTGCCATGTTCTATGGGCAAGGAAAAGTCACAAGGCCAGTCCAGATTCCTCTTGTCAGAAGGAGCTACGAGGTTATATGGCAAAGGCTGCAGGGAGGAATGGAGAATCGTGGTCATTTTTGCAATCAATCTATTGTCACAAGTAGAGTTTTTATGGGCTGTTACATGTAGACTTGTCTTCAGCTGTGAGGTTATGGTGATAATCAAGACTCAATCATTGGCGGGGTATGGTGGCTCATGCCTATAATCCCAGCACTTTGAGAGGCTGGGCAGGACAGGAGGATTGCTTGAGGCTAGGAGTTCAAGACCAGCTTGGGCAACACAGTGAGACTCTGTCCCTACAAAAAATAAAAGTAAATAGAAACATAAAGACCTAATCATCACCTTCAAAAAAATCACAGTTTAGAGTAGGGGAAAAATGAAACACAGTTAATTAAAATACAATGTACTAAATATTATAATAGAGGAGATAGTACAGGACCTAGATGTGGGGCATCTCCTGCCCAAGAGGCTGCAGAAAAGCTTCCCAGAGGTGGTGACATTTGAACCAGGTCTTGTCCAGGGCTCTATTCCAGTGCCTCACACAGTCCTTGGCTTACAGTAAGCATTCAATAAATATTTGATGAATAAACGCAGAATGAGAAGGAGGTGGCATAAAAGGGATACAGAGAAGATCATTCTAAGGAGGAGAATTAGCATGAAGTGTGTAAAAGAGGACTTAATATTTAATCTCCAAGAACATTTATGTTTTCAACAAATATTTGCTAAATGCCCACTATGTGCTAGACACTAGGGATGAGGAATATGGACGCTTGAGAGGGGGAGAACATACCTATATTTACATTCTCCCTAGTGGGAAAGAATATCCTTACCTCTTCTAACTCCCTGTGTCTTACTCACGCAAACATCAGCCCAGCTACCACCTTCCATGTGACAAAATCAAGTTTATGACCACAGTGAGGACATGAGCCAACACCATCTACTGGGCTTTCCAGGAGCACAAGCTCAAACTTCAAGAGACACTCATTCAATAGTGGCCAGATCCCTAGGTATCTCATTAGAAGATCTTGTTTTTATTCCACTTTCAAAGTTAAGTGCTTGAAAAGGATATAATGCAAAAGTAATGTTACTGGTTGGGATCTGAGACTGTCTTTGAATATTGTCTGGGTTTTATGGAAACCCTATTTATGTCCTGGGACATATATAGGCTCAGCATAGTATTTGCAAGTCTTGTAAATATGTCAGTGCTTTTCTAAATGATGTGGTCAGGGCCAACCTTCATTCTTTTAGATCTACCCCATATTTTTAAAAGTTAATTGTTAATGGTATAATGCCATGAAACATTTGCAGGGTGTTTGGCTGGTTGAAGGATCTTTGGCCAGCAGGTGCCAAAACTCTATGATTAGGGTCTTCTCCCTATGTGTTATACCCATCCAAAATGGTAGGTTTATGAATCCTTATCAAATACACCCAGAGTGTCCCATGAAATACACAGATTAGAAGTATTAAATGTCCTTAACTTTGCTTGCTTGAATTCTATCAGGCTTATCTTGACTTCTTATAAAGGCTATAGACAAAAATTCATTTCTATGGGCTGAAATATATAGCTCTCTGCTCCTTCTACTTGACTTTGTAATACTAAATAGATATCTATGATATTCAAATAATTAATAATAAGTAAGAAAAAGGTAACAACCAATCAGGATGGACACAGGGAGACCCCAGATGTGCTTGTCATTAACCTCTTGTTATTGGGTATCAGAAAGGTCTGGAGGAGGTGTGGGGTACTCTGGTAGCTAGGATCATGTGAATAGGGGGAGTTCTTTGGGAACTCTGGCTTCTGCTCTTGACCAAGCATCACAGTGGGCACTGTGCCACTGAGGCACAGATCTGTGCACCTCTGATGAATACTTACCTTTCTGGTTATGACCAATCATGGTCAAGCTGTAGTTTAAGATTGCTGATTTTTCAAATGTGGGGATAAGGCTGATGGTGGTCACAAAAAAAATTGACAAATATTCTTTGCTGTTATTTCAACTAACACCAACAGCTAATCTTTTTTATTGTAGGGAAGAACTAATACATTTAAGAAGACCAGGATGGGTAACAAATAGTTATATGAAGTCAGTTTGCTAAATGCATCTTTAAAGTGAAACAACTTCCAAGCAAATGTAAAACCAGACCTTGCGTTGGGGTTAACAATATCAACATTTTCTTTTCTCCTCCTTCGGTCTCTCCCCCACATCCTTTGATTCTCTCAGCCCAGCTGTCGTTAGCTTGTATGACTGGAGGGAGATCTGGAGGTTTGAGCTCTAGCATTGCAGGCAAGAATTCATGAAAAACAATCAAGGATCCAGTCTTTGTTTGGTGCGGGCACTGGGCTTCATTTCCATGTTGTTGTTTTTCTAGTCTTTAAAGGCAAATTCTTTACTGATGCAATAAGACTGGAGATTGATAAACAGAACAAATGTTATTTTAAACACCATAATGATAATAATTTAATCAAATATGATTTGCTTTTAATAACTTCTTTATTGGCCTTTCCATTTTGAAAAGTGGCCATGTGAATGGTTTGCTTTTTCGTTTTTAATGAGAGAGGAGATTAATGATCTTACTTGTAGGAGCAGAAGACTAATGGTGCTTATTCCTACACTCTTTGTTTCACGGAACAAAGTCAGCCCACCCTGCTATTACAACCGACTGGCCTGAAGCTCCAACGTTCTCGAGAAAGCCAATGGCAACTTTGGGCCAGGTGTTTCCTCTGAACCTTGGATATGGTTTGTTTGTCCCCACTGAAACTTACGTTGAATGTGATCCCCAGTGTGTGGATGTTGAGAGGTGGGGCCTAGTGGGAGGCATTTGTGTCATAGGGGAAGATTCTTCATAAATGGCTTGGTGCCCTACTCCAGGTAGTGAGCAAGTTCTCACCCTGGTGAGACTGGATCAGCGCCTGTGGCAATAGTTTAGTTCCCCTGAGACTGGGTTGTTAGAAAGCCAGGAGGCCCCTTCGGTTTTCTCTCTTTGTCCACATACACTCCCCCTTTGACCCCTGCCATGCTTTGACCTAGCAGGCAGCGCTCAACAGAAACCAAGCAGATGCCAGCACCATGCTCCTCACACTTCCCAGCCTGCAGAACTGTGTTCTAAATAAATCTCCTCTCTTTATAAATTATCAGGCTCAGGTATTCTGTTTTAGTAACACAAAACCAGCTAAGACAGTATTCACCAGTCAGATCAATACTCACTAGCATTTGCACTGTGCCTGATTGTTTACCAAGCACTTTCACTGACATGCATTCCTTCAAGCTGTGTTACTCCTATTACACAGATGAGATATTGAGAGTAAAACTAACTTCCTACAGGTAAGTGACAGCACTGAGACTTTGACTTTGCCCTCACCTCCACATTCAAGTCCCTCCTGTGCACCGTGGTGGGCAGTGTGTTACTATGACTAGCTTAGGCAGTCCATGCCGCAATTGTGAAAAGAACTGAATCTTATTCATTCCTAAACCCTACCCTCTCATACCACAAACCATCTGAAAAAGAAACATAAATAAATAAACAAGTCACTATTGAACCTGCAAACCTGCTCGGTGAGTAGAATTGGCCGGGATATTGAGTTGAAATAATTTGAATTAGAAAACCTCATTTACTCATACCTAAGGGTCTCTATAATTTAAGAGGTTCATGATGGAGGAGGTGCCTATTGCTACCTCCTCCAACAAGGAGAATATTGTTTCCAAACAATGTACAAATAGAGGACTGGGCCATCATGAAAGCATTTATGGGTTGTTGAAGAACTTTCTTTCTGCTGGGACCCAGGGTTCATGGATCTAAATGTCCATATTTTATACCTACCCTTGTCTGTAAGACTTGCTTTCCCCAAAACAAATGCTTTATTCTAACTTGAATTCCAGACATTCAAGCCATGTACCAAATCAAGAGAGCCACAGATTGGTGACATATGATAATAATGCTGGAACAGTCTTGGTTCCTTAAAATTGGTTACTAAACAAAGAACAGTAGCAAGGAAGAGGCTGAGGTAGGGGTAGGCATAAGTTATTATTACAACTATTGATTCCCGCCCCCAGTCCCACAGCCCCTCAAAAATTGCTTTGAAAATGGAAAAGGTGACTAGTAAGTTTATTTACGCTTTTTAAAAAGCACTGCCAATCCCAATTTATCAGTTACTGTCTTGTGACAATTTATTCATTGTTCACTGTTAGAAGCCAGAAGTTACATAGAAATGCATGATTGGTGATAGCTTCTCTATTTCAATATGGTATAATAGAGATAACACGGTGCCCAAAAGCTCCGCAGCCGACTTTTTGTCTGCTTTGTCTCTTTTCATTACTCTATCAGGATCTTCATTTAATATAATCCAAAAAAGCAAGGTAATTGCTTCACTTATCAGTTATCATCGCTCTCGCATACTTATCGTGTCAAAATTATTTATGTGGATAGGCCAGGTTGATCTTGCTGCATTCAGAAGCTTAAAATTTGAATAACTGTTCTGCCAGTTAGGTTATCAAAATTGCAGCATAAGCAATGAGCTTCTCTCTTCTGGATATTGGAGTAGGAAAAAGGAATAGCCTCCTGGATGTGCTGTTGGGAAGGGCAGGACCGGGCCAGGGCGGCACTCAGACCAGGTCTTTGGTGCAAGGAGAGAAGAAATGGCCACAGAATTAAGAGAGTGACTGGAAGATACATTGTGTAGGTCTCTGACAAAGTAAAAGAGAAATGAAGCCAATTGGACCCTGCCTTTCAGCGCTTTTCCTCAACAATAGCCCACAGAATAACTAATACAATTATTCTGAAAAGCAAAACAAACAAACATTTCCACCTGGGTCTTCCTCCATCCAGCCCTCCCCTTGTCCCCCCCCCCACACACACAGATGGGTGTTTCAGTGTGCTTTTTTTCTACTTGTTAATCACTTGCCAATTGTCAAGTATTTCGTCACTTTGAAGACATATTAGGCCAACATGAATTGTGGCAGGTTTTCAATCTAGAAGCAAACATTTATTTCTATAAAATGATTTTTGTTAGATAAGTCTTATTTTGAAGCATCCAAGTCTCTCTCCCTTTTTTTTCTTTTACAAATGTTGATGGTAAAAATAAATTACTTCAGTGTTTGTTTTCCAGCTCAACATCGGGGATTATAGGCTCTATTAGCAGAGAATGGTTAAGTAAATGTAACTAGTAGCTTGGCTCTAACATCAATAAGAAAAATTTCTCTGGACTAATTGTCAGTTTATTTCTTAATGTACAGATGATCATTTAGTACAGCTTTAAGTCCTCACTTATGGTAGTTTGCCATGGAGATGGAACCATGTGAAAGAGAGAGCCTGAGTCATACTTGTGTTTTTCTCTTATTGCTGTTTCAGTAAATTTTCTGAAAATAAAGTGAAAAATACATGCATAAAATCTAGTATTTATATTAATCCTCTGATAGTTACTACTATTGCAGAAGTTAGAACTGAAGACCAGGTGGATCTTACAGCCTACAAATTTATTTTCCAACCCTGAGATTTGATTCTTCCTTAAGAATAAAACACAATGTAAATGTATTTGAAGAAACGTTCACACCTATGATAATGGCCAATATCTCGGTACCTAGAAGAGTGTCCAGTATCTAATGTATCCTTAGTACATCAACAATTAATAATAATGTATTAATACATCCAAATATGTGTTAAGTAAATGAATATATGAAAAAGTGAATAGACTTTTGGCTTAGTTCATTTTCTGTTGCTATAACAGAGTACCTGAGACTAGGTAATTTACAAAGAAAAGAAATTTATTTCTTATTGTCTGGAGTTTGGGAAGTCTCAGGTGAGGAAGCCTCATCTGGTAAGTTCCTTCTTACTGCAATATGGTGGAGGCATCATGTGGAAAGAGAGCAACAGCCTTCCAGCTTAGGTCTCTCTTCCTCTTTCCATAAAACCACTGGTCCTATCATGGGGCCCTGCTCCAATGACATTATCTAATCCTATTTCTCTCCCAAAGGTTCCACCTCCAAATGCCATCAACATATGAATTTGGCGATTAAGTTTCCAACACATAATATTTGGGGACATATTCAAACCATAGCATTCTACCTGTGGCCCCCAAAATTCATGCCCTTCTCACATGCAAAGTACATTTATTCCATCCCAATAGCCCTAAAGCCTTAACTCATTCCAGCACCAACTCAAAAGTTCAGAGTCTCATCTAAATCAGATATGGGTGAGATTGAAGGCATGATTCATTCTGAGGCAAATTTCTTACAGCTGTGAGCCTGTGAAATCAAATCAGTTATCTACTTCCAAGATATAATGATGGGACAGGCATAAGACAAACCTTTCCATTCCAATAGGGAAAAATAGGCAAGATGCAAGTAATAACAGGCCCCAAACAAGTCCAAAACCCAACAGAGCAGACATTAAATCTTAAGACTGTAGAATAATTTCTCACCTCCTAGACACACTTGTGTGGGGCTGGGGCCCCCAAGGCCTCAGGCAGCCCCACCTCTATGGCTTTACTGGGCTCAGACCATCCTTCAGCTCTCCTAGGCTCACATTGCAGGTAGCTCTATGGTTCTAGGGCCTCAGTGGCAGTCCCACTCCCATGGCTCCACTAGGCAGTCCTCTGGTGGAAACTTTCTGGGGCAGTTCCAACCCCATATTTTCAGTTGGCATTTTTCTAATCAGGGTTCTGTGCAGTGGCTCCTCCCCTGTGACAAATCTGCCTGGGCCCCCAGGCTGTCTGATACATCCTTTGAAATCTGGGGAAGGCTGCCATGCCTCCATAGCTCTTGCTCTCTGTGAGCCTGCAGAATTAGTACCACATGGATGCCACCAAGGTTTATTGCTTGTATCTTCTGGAGCATTAGGTTAAGCCACAAGAGGGGGCCACTTGAGCCACAGCTTGCGCAGCTGAGAAGTGCCACCAAAGTGAGAAGTGTCAGAATGTGGTAAGCAGAGACCCAACATGGCCCTGGGCAGCAGCCTGTCCCCTGAAACCTTTAGAAACCTCTGCCCTACTAGAGCTGTGGGCTTGTGATGGGAAAGGCAGCCTCAGAGATCTCTGAAATGTGTGTGGGGTTTTTCTCTCATTGTCTGAATAGTCCCTTCTATCCATATTAATCTCCTTAGCAAACAGTCACTGGACCACACCCTTGGTTTCCTCTTCTGAAAAAGCCTTTTCATTCTCTACCACACAGCCAAGCCGATAATTTTCCAAATCTTTTTTAATTATAAATTTTGTCTTTAAGCAATCCCTTTGCTCACTTATTTCACTGTAAGCAGTTAAAAGTAGCCATAAAGCAGCCTGAATGTTTTGCTGCTTAGGTATTTTTTCCAACAGATATCTTAGTTCATAGTTCTTAAGTTCTGCATTCCATAAAATTCTATAACATAGACACAATGCAGCCATATTCTTTGCAATTTTATAACAAGGTCTTTA